CTAAAAATAGAAAAAATTACCAGTTGTAAAATTTGAGTTGACACAAGACCGTGCTCCCATGTCCCCTGACTGTTTCCCTAGACTTTTCTCCTTGGTCCAATGAAAAGGCCTTTTCATATTTGTTCATTCATTCCTGCGTTAATTAAAGGACGTTGTACTATGTGCCAGGCACTGTGCCAGAGACTGGGAATATAAGTAGTCACGTCCCTAAAACAGAAATGAAACCAATATGGTTGGAGTAGAGGGAGTTAGAGGAGTGTGGGGTGTGGCGGGTGGGATTGGAAAAGTAAACCGAGACCAGATTTGTAGTTGGGAGGGGGAGGTGACGCTTGTAGGCCGTATTAAGAATTTTAGACTTTATTCAGAGGGACGTGGAAGTCACTGAGGAGTTTGAAGCAGGAGAGTGACATAAAAAGATCCTCACTTTAAAAGCGGACCCTGGCTTGAGGGTGAAGAATGGGTGGGCAGCAGCCTTGAGTGGCTGCAGGGGCCCAGTGAGGAGCCGCCGCAGCAGTGGAGGTGACAGTTGGTCACGCTTTGGACAGGGTGGGTGGGGCTGACCGAGCAGGGGACAGAGCAGGACCAGCAGATTTCATGATTAGATGTGGAAGGAATTGAGGTGTTTGCAGTCTTCAAATTTGAACCCAGAGTGTACTGGACAAGTAGTCTTGTTGTTCTGTAACCTGGACAGGAGTGTTTCCATTTTACCCTCTCTTCCTGCTCTTGGCTTTTGGATTTTTTGTAATTTGAGTTTTAAAAATGTAATCGGAGTTACTTCATGGGGAAAGATACTTAGTGCCAGGTGGTTTTGGAGCCTGGTGGTTGGTCCGTCCTCTGAACCTTGGCTGTGTGTCAGTTGGCAGGGCGTCAGATTTGTTATAAACATTGCACAAGGCTTGGTGACCATGCTGTGTCATTGAATCTGAATCGAGGTGGAGACAGATCAATTTCAGATTATTTTCAAGGCCTTAGAAACACATTACCCTCCATCTCCCCTCCAACCACAGCAACAAATCAAAACAACCCCTATTTTTTTTGACACTGTCAACAAAGAAAAGAAAAAAAAAAAAAACTACCCCTATCTGCTAAGAATTCTTCTTCCTCTGTAAGACTGCCTGGGCTGCCACCGTACTAAGATATAAGCTCATCTGATTTGTGAATCAGTTTTATTTCTTGCTCTTCCTACCTAAGCCAAAAAGCTTCAAGATTTTATGCTTTTCCTTGGGTTACTTTGATTCATTGAAATAATTTCTGTTCTATTTGTATTATTCCTCATTAGAAAATTCTTTTGTAAATAGTTCATGTAGAAATATTGATTTTGATTTTCAAGGAAGTATTTGAGTAGGGAGGGGAAAATGGGGAGTTGATGTTCAGTAAGTAAAGAGTTTCAGTAATGCAAGATGAAAAAATTATAGCAATCTTCTATATAACAGTGTGTGTAGAGTACATTTAGAAATTTGTTGAGATGGTAGGTCTTATGTCATTTTTTTTCACCCACAATTTTTTTTAAGTATCGAATAAAAAAGCAAGTTTACTCTTCAATTTTTATTTATTGTATATATTTTTTTTTTATTTTTTTTTTTGAGACAGAGTCTCACTCTGTTGCCCAGGCTAGAGTGCCATGGCGTCAGCCTAGCTCACAGCAACCTCAAACTCCTGGGCTCAAGCAATCCTTCTGCCTCAGCCTCCTGAGTAGCTGGGACTACAGGCATGTGCCACCATGCCCGGCTAATTTTTTCTATATATTTTTAGTTGGCCAATTAATTTCTTTCTATTTTTAGTAGAGATGGGGTCTAGCTCTTGCTCAGGCTGGTTTCTAACTCCTGACCTTGAGCGATCCTCCTGCCTTGGCCTCCCAGAGTGCTAGGATTATAGGCGTGAGCCACCGCACCTGGCCTATTGTGTATTTTTAATTTTTATTTTAAGTGACTGAAGATTTTTAAACTTCAGAATATTTTAAAATAATGTTCTCTGTCATTTCTTGCATTTAATATTTTTTTCTCTTTTTTTATTTAAAAATATACTTAAATATTTTTTTCTTGTCTTTTTTTTTCTTGGCATCTATAGGTAGAGCATTTAATATTTAATTTTAGATTATATTGTATCTCTCTAAAGATTGTTTCTTATGTAAGTCAAGATTTCAATGCCTGCTAGAATGCTGTTCAAGAAAGAAATTAAAAAAACAAAAAAAAGAAATTAAAATAATTAAAGAAAAAAAAAAGATTTCAGTGCCGAAAATATATGTGGCTACTACTCAGAGGTGATTATTCACAAGGCCTTTACTTTTTAGAAATTGGCTTTTCCAAAAATTAAAATACTGTGTAACCGGAACATTTTTGCCTTGGATTTCTGTTTTGCAGCTTCTTCCTTAGATTATAAGTTCTGTAATGACTGCTCTATCAATTTATAATTTGGTTTGGCTGCTGTAACAGAGGCTAAATAATAGTGGCTTAAACAAAATAGAAGCTTATTTCTCTCCTACAGAGAAGTCCAACAATTTAGGAGTGAGGGGGTGGAAGGCAGCTCTGTTCCACAGGGTCATCCGGGGACCCAGGCACATGTCCTCTAGGATGTTCCTTTTCCCCCTTGGCTGCAGTAGCACAAGGAAGTAGAGGGTAAGCAGCTGCCTGTTAATGTATAAGAGTCAGATAGTAAAACATACAGGCTTTGCAGGCCATATGTGCTCTCTGTTGGATATTCTTTTTTATTATTATTATATCTTTATTTTTTTCTTTTTCTTTTTTTGCGGGCAATGTTGCCTTACTGCACGTAAGAGGATATTCTTTTTTATTTATTTACAACCTATTAAAAATGTAAACACTATTCTTATCTCACAGGGCTTACAAAACAGCCCCTGGCTAGATTTGTCACACATGCCATTATTTTGCCAACCTCTGCTCTAAGGTCATGCAACCTCTACATGACCTAGAAATTGCATCCTTTCTCATCTGTGAAATAGGGTTAATAAGAGTATCCATTTCAAAAGGTTGTTTTGAGGATTAAAATGAGATGATATGTTCAAATAGTGCCTTGCACGAAGTAAATGCTCACAAATGTTAACTGTTTTCAGATCTAATTTATATATTTTTTCCTATGAAATAGAACTAGCACATTTTTCTTTTACTTCCTGATTTTTGACACAGTTCATGACATTTATTTATATAATTTCCACAGTTGTTTAGTGTGGCACTGTATTTAAATCAATGCTCTAGTCCTTTTATCATGGTTTCTGTTTCTCTGAATTCTTTATTTTGTTTGATTATTTTGATAATGCAACCTATTAGATAATGCAACCTATTAGTTAGGTTGCATTATTAGTAGGTTTTAAAGACAGTATTGTATTCCAAGTATTTGCATCCATGAAAATGCCTAAAGAAGTTTTATCTGTGAAAGGATAATTTAGTAGGGTATAAAATTCTCGGGTTATCTCTTTTTCCCACAGGATTTTCAGAATTTGAAGTATAAAATCAGTTTGATTATCCCTCCTTGATGTGACTTGCTTTTTCTGCCCGGAGATCCATATGATTATTTTTCAGAGATCGATTGTGTACTTTTTCCTATGTTGTGTGCCTTTTTAAATGCAGATTTAGGTTTTTTTGTTTTTGTTTTTAAGTTTCAGTAACATTTTCTTTCATTCCTGTTTTAGAAATGTTCTTTTCTATTTGTTTTCTTCTTTAGGAATTCTGTGTATATCAAATCTCTTATCTGCCTTCTCTGTCATTTTTATGTTGTTTAAAAAATTTGTTTGTTTTGGGATTTTTTTTGGGAGACAGGTTCTTGCTCTTTTGCCCAGGGTAGAGTGCAGTGGCATGATCATAGCTCACTGCAGTCTCAAACTCCCGGACTCAAGAGGATCTCCTGTCTCAGTCTCCCGAGTAGCTGGGACTACAGGTGTACGCCACTACGGCCTGGCTAATTTTTCTGTTTTTAGTAGAGATCGGTTCTCGCTCTTGCTCAAGCTGGACTCCAACTCCTGAGCTCAAGCAGTCCTCCCGCCTTGGCCTCCCAGAGTGCTGGGATTACAGGCATGAGCCACTGCACCCGGCCAGGACATTATCAAAAATAGCATGTCAGAGCCCATCCTTGTACAGCTCTTAGGCTTATGTGCAAGGATTTCTTAAGGAGTAGGTGTTCAGGGTTGCCTTTTTATTTTTCACTAGGTACTAACTAGTTAATACTACTGCCACTAATTGTGTCCTAAAGGGATGGTGCCAACCTACCCTCTCACCAGCAGAGCATGAAAGTTCCCACGTGTACATGACTATTGGATAAGGCCACCCTTTCTGCTGTTTGTCTTTCCTGAGTAATGCTAAAATGGAGCCAGTTGGCTGTTTCCAGGCCCATAGAGGAGTGGGAGAGGGTGATAAACCAGCTAACTAGAAGTCTCCCCAAATACAGTTCGCTTCACATCTGAGATGGGGTTACATTCCTGCTCATTTTCTTTGCCTCTGCAGCAGCCCCCTCCCCCCATAGGACATCATTAGATCCAACAACAAAGTTTGAAAGGTTCTAGGGTCTTCTCCAGGGGTTAGGGGAGATATGACAAAGTGTGTTATTGTTTCTGATAAGAGCACTATTGTCCTTCGTTCCTGTGTGCCATTTCTACTTAGACTGAATTTATTTCTGGAGTTCTTTTCCTAGCCGTTCACCTGAAAATCATTATGTGTGTTGCACATGAACTATCAATGATTAGATGCTAACGTGGCAAAGATGGTGTGAGTTTTCTTTTAGCTCAGAAACAGGTACATTAGATTCAATACAGTCAGCTGATAAACGCATGACTTTCTGTGCTTTTGAATTATATGGTTCCAAAGTACTTTTCACCCATCTGGTGTATTTACACTGAGGGGGTGAATTCCTTAACAATGTGGTCGACAGATCAGTATTCTCAGAGGTGTAAACCTGTCTATTTCTCTTTCTCTTGGTGAAATACCTTTTTTGTTTCTTTATTCCTTTAAAAATATCATAGTCCCTCACTTGTGCACTCTTCCAACTTTCAGAAAAGCAAGAGGAAAGGGCACGAGTATACAAATATTAAGTATTCTCTAGCGGACCAGACCAGTGGCGATCAGAGTCCCCTCCCGCCTTGTACCCCAACGCCACCCTGTGCAGAGTAAGTAGTGATGAAGGAAATTCTTTCTACCTGAACGTAGTGCTATAAAAAAGGCTTTCAAAACAAAAAAACAAGTCTTTGCAGCCCGTGCCTTTCACTGGAGCACATTACTGTTGCCCAGCGATTCATGTCTCAGTTTTTGGCAATTTCTATGGATTGTATTGACGGTGTCTAAACTAAGATTTAATTTTCCTAAACTGATTGCTGTGCTAGCTAGGATTATATAGGATGATGTGTATGTCAAGCGGTGGTTCTCCAAGAAGAATCTAATGTTTCTTTTGATGGGATGGGGATTACTGCAAGAGGTCCTATCTCTTATGATGTGTTAAGACTCTTTGCTAAAAAAAGTAAATAAGTTGACCATTAATGTGTCAAAATAGCTACGATCTGCTAATTTTCCACCAGTCAACAGAAGTCTGCTTTTGGTGTTTAAACCAGGGGTCAGCAAACTACAGCCCACAGGCCAAATCTGGGCCAGGGCCTGATTTTTATTTTTGTTTTTTAGTATAAGGTCTTGCTCTGTTGCCTGGGCTACAGTGCATTGATGTCATCAGAGCTCATTGCACCCTCAAACTCGCTTGGGCCTGGGCTCAAGCGATCTTCCTGCCTCAGCCTCCCGAGTAGCTGGGACTACAGGCCTGTGCCACTGTGTCCAGCTAATTTTTAAAATTTTTTTATAGAGATGGGGTCTCGCTATGTTGCCCAGGCTGGGATGGCCTGTTATTGTATATAGTCCATGAATGGTTCTTAAAAGGTTGTAAAACAAAAACAAAACTCAACAACAAAACAAAACCCAAAGAATAACATATGACAGAGACCATGTATGGTGTGCAGAGCCTAAAATACTTTCTAGTCCTTCCCAGAAAAACTTTGCTGACTCCTTGTTTACACTAAAACATGGTAGGAGGACATTTCTTAAGTTGATGATATGAATAGCAATTGTAAATTATTATTTTCCTATATATTCTAAAGTCACTCTCTAGTATAACATTTACTTTTTATTTTCCCCTAAGAATCTTATCTCTGTTTGCTTCTGATGTAGGTTTTTAAACCCCTGCTGACTTTAATATTCTATATAAATGTTTTAGGTAGCATACATGAGGCTTGTATTAACATTTGCTTTCTATTTAACCCTGGAAAGAATGTATATAGCAGAAGTATTCTCTCCTCTAAGTTGCCTCTTCTCTCTGCCTGCTTTTTTCCTTCCCGGTGGACTGACTGGGGAAGTTGATATTTTAAATTGCTCTCTGCAGTAATTTGCAGTGGACTCTGAGTCCTTTCCAGAAAGCTTTCCCTTCATGCTGGCAGAACACAGCCAGCTGTCCCGGTTCCCTTAGTACCAGTGGCATGCCTGTGGCTAATGGGCTCTTGGCCTCTCATTCCCGTGTCTGCTCTGGAGGGTACAGACGCAGGACACCCTCGTACTGTACTGGAGCCCCTCTCCGGCTGGCACCCACAGCTGCTGGGTTCCTGCCCTCCTAGACGGGTCTGATCACCCCTTCCTGCTCAGTAGAAAGGAGTCTGGGTGCTTCGATGCTGCGGCTCTTTCCTGGGGCCCTAAACCAGCTGTTTCCCTTCCCTTAACCTGAGCTGGGGCTGAGTGGACCTCTAATCACTGCCTGACTGCTTGGGGCTTTTGCCTGTTCAGATTCCTCTTCTGGAAGCTAACATCATTTCTTTCTGTAATGTGTGTGTCCCACCCCCCTTCCTGGTGTCACTCATATGCCTCATCCTACAGGCCTCCTTAAAACAAACCCAGAGAGCACAGGGACTCAAGGCTCTTAGTTGACTTTGAACTTCGCAATTGTATTGCTGTATGTGTATGTCTCCCCTCCCTGTCGAAAATGGCAGCTCCTGAGCACAGGAACTGTGTCTGCACCATATCCAGTTCCCAGAGAATGCAGTGTGTGCTTTATAAATACCGAGTAAGTTTAAACAGCATGGTCTACATTTTTGTAAATGTCTTGCATTTCCTTTTCTCTGCAGAATGAGAGAAGATAATGCTAGAGTCTATGAAAACGTGGGCCTGATGCAGCAGCAGAAAAGTTTCAGATGAGAAGACCTGCCAAAACTTCAGCACAGAAATAGGTATTTCAGTGCAAGTGCTCCATTGGTTCATTGTTTATATAATTTGTAGCATTCTTAAGCAGAGTGTACCATAATCGAGTTTTACAAACCAGCCTCCTTTTTCCTCTCCCTGCACTTCTTTTTCCAAGGTGGACTTAGTCTAGAGTTCATTAAGTATTGAAACCAAACAGAATTAATTCTGCAAGGGGCAGGGGTACTAGTTACTCCAGAGGAATGGTTGATATTGGTGGTGAAGAGCAGGTATCACTGCTCCTACAATCCTTACTAGAGGTGGTTAACCCAAGCTGTGCTGGGGATGATCTGTAGGGATCTGGAAGCTTCGGGACATAGCCCCGGGTGGTTGAGAGTTAGCAAGCCCGAGTTCCTGTTTCACCTGACTTCTGACCGGCTGTGTGACACAGGGTGCTAGACCCCCTGGCCTTTGACGCCCCTTCCAGCTCTGCTGGGAATTTATATATCTTGTGTGTCTCTTCCCTGTCAATTACCTTTTCAGATTGTGACCCAAGTGTGTGATGTATGTTTTAATAAGTTAGAAACTCAAAATGTCAGTATTTCACGTTGAAATTCCCACTTCAAAGGGTAGTATATTTAAAAGCTTCGAATCTGCTTTAGAGTTGTTTAATGCTTTGTCAAGCCTTTAGATGTATGCTCCTTAAAAACTCTAATTTATTTTTTCCCCAGATGTGGACTTTCACCCTCTCCCTAAAAAGATCAAGAATGGATGCAAGATAAAGTTTATGTGAAGAATGAATTTGGATTTGGAAGGCTTGCATTGTGTGTTAATAAGCAAATTTTGAAACCATGTAAAGACCTGTATTTTCACTCAACAGTACCTGATTTCCAATTACTCATTTCCTCAGATAAGAAATCATCTCTACAATGTAGACAGTGTTATAGATTTTATAGAATTTTGTTTTAAATTGAGGAAACAGTTAAATTGTGCTCTATGTTTTGCCAATTATGGATTCAAATTCTAGGTATGGGCAGTTTTTCTTTTTATAACCTTAACCCATTTAATTTGTTTTCTCTTTGTGGGGGATGATAGGACACTTGTAAGAAAAAATGATTTGGGAAAATTAAGTAACAACATCCCAGAGAAGTGAGAACAGTTTCATTTAGTATCACTTATCCAGTAGTGGATAATCCATTTTGACAGCTTCTTTTTTTGGCTAAATGATAATTAAGCCAGGGCCTGAGACTGTCAGATGCTGTCTACCTTTGCATTACCATTAAAGAATCATGGGGAAAAAAAAAATCATAAAATTTTTATGAATTAGCATAAAGAGGTGTGTTTTCTTCTTAGCAGTTGACCAATTACCATTCAGCTGTTGAGTGAGAAGGTTGTGGTGGGAAAATGTTTGCCATATTTTCTTTGCATTTGAGTAATTGTCTTGTATTTAGAAAAAAGGCATCTGTGGATGACTAGTGTTTTTGGTTGTCAAATGTTGCTGACAAATCACCCCCAAATTTTTAAATGACCCCTCCCCACACCCGTCTGTTCTTTCTGAGCTGGGCTCAGCTGAGCTGTTCTTCTGCTGACCTTGCCGGCGGTCACTCATGTGGTCAGCAGGTTGGCAGAAACTCTGGGATGGCTGGGCTTCTTTCTCCGTGTGCAGCCCTCAGGGTCTCTCCTCCTCTGTGTGGTCTCACTAGCAGGGTCCCTAGACCCCCTATGTGCAGCTCAGAGCTGCCAAGAGCTTGAAAGCAGAAGCAGCCAGGCCTCCTTAAGACTTAAGTCCAGAACTGTCGCAGCATCCCTTCTACTGCCCCCTAGTGATGAAACGAGTCAGGAGCCCAGCCCAGATTCAAGAAGAGGGCATGCAGTAGAGGTGCAGTTCACTGGGGGGCCGCCAGTCTGACAGACTGTGACAGCCAGGGCTATGGAAAACCAACTATATTAGCAAAAGTAGAAACTGCTAGTGACCTTGGGAAGCTGAAGCTGCTTACACTAGCTGGTATAAGCTGAAAGTCAGACTGAGGAATAAAGAGAGGGCCTTCTAGAAGCTTCATGAACCAATTCTGCCAGCTCTGAGCATATTTTCTGAACCAGCACTTGGGAAAACTGGTCTTGTAAGGATAGACGTGTTTAGGGTTTTGAGAGCGGAACCACCCCATCATTGGGGCACCCCCAGACTGTGGGGAATGTGACGCTTTCTTGATGCTACTGGTTTCTAGTCAGACCACAGTGAGAAGGAGCAGTCGTGACTGGCTTCCAGCCAGATTGAATTAGCTCATTTTTGTTTTAGCCAAGCAGTAAGATTTGCTAATGTTCTACCTTAAGTGCCTTCTCCAAAGACACCCCTCTTTGCCTCATGTGTTGAATCACCACTCAGTGAGTATATTTCAATGAAAATATCCTGGGTTGACTTTTGTAATGACGATAAAGTGCTACAGCCACTTTGCCATGACGTTGGGATCTCCTCAGATTCTTCTGGCTCCTCAAAAGAAGGCCTAGATCCAGCCCTGGCAGTAATTCCTTTCTGAGGTCTTTCAGTGTCTTGAAACCCTGAGGTCGTTTGGGAGCTCAGTGGCTGCCATGCTCACAGATAGAATGTCCGCTGATGCCTCCACGCCTGCCCCAAGACCCATTGGACTTACAGTTGCTTCAGAACACAGGTGTGGCCCGGAGAGTACCTTCTTAGGGGAGTGCCATGACTGCTGTTTTCCTGGCAGGGCTGTCAAGAAACAGATTCCAGTTCAGTATTTGCAAAAAGGATCTTGAATCCTGTTCTTTTTATTGCATTATCACATTGAACCGTTCTCCATTTTGCTTCAAATTTGTGATAATGTCTTGACTTCACTTTGGGGACAACGTCTTTCACCAGCATACAAGGGGTTTGGTTGTACAGATATATCCGCTGCATTAACGTCTCTGCCTGTAGCTGAAAATCAGTTGTTTTTGCACGTGGGATGGAAGTACCTGATCGTGGTCAGCTTTGTTCTAGGACATTGATTTCATTTAGATTTCCCTCCATGAGGTCAGCAAGCTGTCATGCTGTCATATAAACTTAATGCCCAGGACAAGATTCATATGACAGTCCCTTGGTTGCTAAGGTTTGTCGTGTGTTTGGTAAAAGGTGATTGCAGGTTCTCAGATGAGGTTACTTTACTTGGAATGGAATCAGGCAGAAGGGCTGGGATGGTGTGGGGGGGAGCTTGAGGTTTAAAAAAAATAGTGGAAAGGAAAGTTCCAAAGAGGTGGTGTCTGAGGAAGTCAAGGGGCCCAGGGCCGGAGCAGTCAGTACTGGGTGAATCAGGTTACCTGGAAAATAGGTGCGAAGGTACACATATGCAGTCTACTTTTAGGTTGCTGGTAGACATTAAATATGCACAATGTTCCATATAGCTGGCTGAGTATTTTTAAATTATAAGCATAGGGTTTTATATTTGGGGTGCAGGAATTATCTGGCATGCAGTTATTGGGGCTAAAAAAAATAAAAGCCAAATTTCAGAGTCTTAATAGCTTTTTTTAAAAAAATAAATAAATAAAAAGGCACCTCGTGTCCAGCGTGTGGCCCTTCTGACACTTACGGTCCTCTCTCCATGGAAATCAGTGACTTTTCAAATGCGGCTAAGTGGGGATGAGGAAACGTAGGTAGGACTTTCTTGGTGTCTGCGTTCTTTATGGGGCCCAGTTGCTTTGGAACAGCCAAGAAAATGGTCAAGATTATTTTTAGGGGATTCTTTTACTGGGGGTTTTAAGAACTTAATATGACATCTTGGGTTATTTCTAGTTCAGGGGAATGTGAAAAGGTATGCAATTGTGAAGTGTTTTGTTGTAGATTAGTATCTATAAGGGAAACTTAGACTGTAGACATAAATATAAGCCCAGTGCAGTTTTTATTTTCTGTATGTTGTTGGGAGAATAAAGTTTTCTATATAGCAAGCACACGGCCTCCCCAATTGCAAGACGCCTTCTTAGAGTCTGTATTAGCCCTTAATTTTGTTGAAATCTCTTTCCTTCTTCCTCTTGAAGAATAAGTTCCAAAATATAGTTTGTTGTATCTTCCATCACTAAAAAGTTTATTCCTTTTTTCACTATGGGCAGTTCACACAAGGCAAGCATATTAAAACAGTTGGTTTTAGTGTATTGTATAACTTTGCTGTATCTCAAACTAATTTTTACCAGTTTTTATCCTAAACCTCCAATCATGTAATTAATAATTTGCCTGTTTATTTATGACCTAATTGTGATTCTTTTATTAATAAAAGCTAATGGAAAAGGATTCTTTATTAAGCAGATGACTAGACCTACAATTAATTTTCCTGCAGTATATGAAGAAGTATTGTACCAGAGTATTAAAAGATATGTAATATTTTATTGATAAATCTATCCTTTAAAAGGAATACGTTTTAGGATGTCATCATTTTGATGTGAATCATGTAAATGTTGATAATATGCTGTTTATTATACATTTAGTGTTTCAAGAGATTCACGTAATTGCCTCTTTGCCCACATATATTATGTAGTCTCTTTGCAATTGTTTTTTAAAAAAAATGACATTAAAAGAATAGTTTATGTAGAGAAACATTAGTGGATGTTAATTGTCTCCCCACCTGTATTTATGGGTGTGTTAGTTCAACTGCTTTGCTAGTTGCAAAGCCATATTATCAGAAGAAAAGTGTATTTGTAAACTGTATGGGAACTAAAAATTAGGAATAAAACCATTTTCTTATATTATGGCATTTGTCATTTGCTTCATCAGAAAAGTCCAGGAAAAAATGGGATTATAGATCACTCGACCTCTCACACTGGCAGAATGCTGACATTTAGCAGCTCTAGTATCTAGAAGGTGACTTGGAATGTAGAATAAATGAATCACTTCCTCAAGCATTCACTGGGTGCCTATTCTATGAATAGCTTTCGGAGATAAGAAATTCTATTTGAAAGAACTTGTGAGCAAATGAAGAGTGAAAGTGTGTGTAAAATATACAGGAAATGCTGGGCATGTTGGTGTATACCTATAGTCCCAGTATCCCAGCTACTCAGGAGGCTGAGATGGGAGGATTGCTTGAGCCCAGGAGTTCAAGATCAGCCTGGGCAACACAGCAAGACCCCATCCTTCTCTCTCTCTCTCTCTCACACACACACAACACACACACATACACAAATATATGAATATACAAGAAGTGATTAGGTAACACACAGAACTGAATGTAAATAGCACTGGGTGGGGATATGAAGTGAAGGTTTGGTAAGGGAGGCTTGCAGGAGGAGAAAATTATGTGCTATAGGACATCAGTTCTTCCTTTAGAGTAGGTTTAGGCCACATATAAACAAGGCCACTTTCCTCTGACAATAGCAAGCATTGGCACAGGCATAAAGAAATCATTTTATAAGTAACCAAACAGGTAGTTCTTAGTTTCCTACTATAAATATATGGGACAATTTGGATTACTTACTTACACTGTAGAATACCATGGCCTGCCTCTCAGTCTCAACGGAGCTGTTTAATGCATACAGTAGATTAGTATCCAGCTGGTTTAGTTGGCTGGCCATCACCTGTCCTTTCAAAATTACACAGTACCTCCGAAATGGAGGTGGAGGAAGGAGGAGCAGTGGCCAGAACAAGCTGACACGGTGGCATCTGCCAGGGGGGCGAGGCCTTGCCCAAAAGTCAGAAGGCAGCTCCCAAAGCTGCCCAAGACCAAGACAAAAGACAGAAATTCGACAACTGATTCCACATGGGGTTGAGAGTCACGAAGAAGGGCTCAGGGTGTGGATCGCAGGAGGATCTCTGTGGGGCTTTCAACCATCGTGCTGTTTGGTGTTTACCCTCCGGGTTCAGAAGAGGTGCTGTCCACACCGCCAGCCTGGAGACGCCTCCTCGTTCCACGTGACCCTTCCTGAGGTTCTGGATTGCGTGTTAAAGGGTAGTGATGAGGCCAGGCACGATGGCTCACGCCTGTAATCCTAGCACTCTGGGAGGCCGAGACAGGCGGATCGTTTGAGCTCAGGAGTTCGAGACCAGCCTGAGCAAGAGCAAGACCCTGTCTCTACTAAAAATAGAAAGAAATTAATTGGCCAACTAAAAATATATAGAAAAAATTAGCCAGGCATGGTGGCGCATGCCTGTAGTCCCAGCTACTCGGGAGGCTGAGGCAGGAGGATCGCTTGAGCCCTGGAGGCTGAGGTTGCTGTGAGCTAGGCTGACATCCCGGCACTCACTCTAGCCTGGGCAACACAGTGAGACTCTGTCTCATAAAAAAAATAAAATAGCTTCTGATATTCTTAGACATCACACCTACCAAAACCGAGTTTGCGAAATCCCAAGCATATGTTAAACTCATCCAACCATGAGAAGAGAAGGAAAAAAATAATTTAAAGGAAGCAAGCTCTAAAATTAAAGTCTGTTCAGGAGGTGACAGATGTCTGGGTCTTGATGGATTTCTAGACTTGTAAAAAGTAGTTTTCTTTTTTCATCTTCATTCATCCATGTTTGTTGCTTTGTACATTAGCATTTTTTCTTATTCGAAAAAAATCAATTTCCTTCTCTCTAAAGGGTTGATTCCCCCAAGTGTTACTTTGTATGGAGGCTTTAGAAAATGTCTAACAAAGGTTTGAGTTATGGATAGGAAAAACACACTTGCACCTCAGCTACGCAAATTATCCTCTAGTGGTGCCCTATTGTGCATTGAATTATTGTATTTAATACTTTTTCCACATAGGCAAATGGACTAAAATCTTTGTTTGGGACCATGTAATTCCTATCTTTAGATTTAAGAATAAACCATCAGGTTTCTGCTTAGGGCAAGTTAAAATAGGCCTTTTAGTTTAAGACATTAAATACCTTTGAGTTTTAGGCACCAGGTGGAGGTGGACCATTCTGTTCCAGGCGTGTTGATTTAGTAGGAAGATCAGAGTTTGGGAGCTCCAGGCTTGGGCTTCTTTCTTTCCTGGTTTTGCCATTTTCTAGCTATGGGACCTTGGACCAGTTAGGGCCTGGATCCTCCCATCCTCTTTAGAAAAATGGAGATAGCGGTGCCTGGTGAAGGGTTGTTGGGAAGTTTAATGGTAACGAATGGCCTAGCGCATAGTAGGTGCTTAGTAAGTAGCTGCACTCTTTCTATTGGACTTGGGAATGTTCTTGCAGGCCTTGGGAGTAGCCTGTTCCTGGGTTATGTGAATTTACCAGTTGGTGGCACATAGCAGGGAGAATCAGTGAACAAAATTCATGGATTGCATTGGAGCTTAGACAGCCCTTCTAACAGGTAATTGTTGAGCAAAAACCTTTTACTTTCATCACAGTCTGTGAGTGTTGGAAATCCTCCATTAGCCTTTCTCCCTGGTATGGAATGAAAACTTAATTCAAACACACTCAGGCCAAGGAGGGAGAATTGCTTGAGCTCAGGAGTTCAAGACCAGCCTGAGCAAGAGGGAGAGCCCTGTCTGTACTAAAAATTGAAAAATTAGCCAGACATGGTGGCATGTGCCTCTCGTCCCTTGGGAGGCTGAGGCAGGGCGACAAAGTGAGACTCTGTCTCAAAAAAACCCCAAAAACATACCTGCTGCTTTTCTTCAAAAAAAAAAACAAAAAAACAAAAAAAACAAAAACCACACTCAGGAAGTGCAAACATATTTTTATTTGCTAATGGATTTTTTTTTGAGACAGAGTCTTGCTTTGTTGCCCAGGCTAGAGTGAGTGCCGTGGCGTCAGCCTCGCTCACAGCAACCTCAATCTCCTGGGCTCAAGCGATCCTCCTGCCTCAGCCTCCCGAGTAGCTGGGACTACAGGCATGTGCCACCATGCCCGGCTCACTTTTTCTATATATATTAGTTGGCCAATTAATTTCTTTTTATTTACAGTAGAGACGGGGTCTCACTCTTGCTCAGGCTGGTTTTGAACTCATGACCTTGAGCAATCCGTCCACCTCGGCCTCCCAGAGTGCTAGGATTACAGGTGTGAGCCACCGCGCCCGGCCTAATGGCTTTTAATCCTGGGGACAGAGATAGGTTGGTCATTACCCCTGCCTTGCATAAGGTGGGGGAATATCTCAATTTTGGAAGAGGGCGATTTTAAAGAGCTGAGAGGCGGGGAAGACTGGGAGTGAAGACCTGGTTATGAGTCTGTGTGCCTTTGGTGAGTAACCTAAGCTTTCGGAGCCTCAGGTTCCTCACTGAAGAGCGGGGCTGACAATCCTGACGTATTATCCGAGCACTGTCCACACGCAAGAACGATTGCTTGTTTGTAGGAGCCAACAAGGGGAGACTTTGTCCCTCCAATGTCCCTCTACAGAAACATGGATATGGAGTCAATGGTGGTATTTTCCATACACTTCAGTTCTATGGAGCCATGGAAAAGAGTGGATCGTGTCACCATGGTTGACTCACACACAGAGTTGAGAGGGACAGAGACCAGTTGTAGAAGCATATGGACAGAACGAGACCATCTATTTTGCCTGTTCTACAACATGCATAAACAAATGCTACAAGGTTTGGAGAAAATTTCATTTGTAGTGAAATTATAAAGGAGAGTATGGAAAGATAAACTCCACTTTCTGGGTAGTTGTTGCCCTGGCCTGGGGAAGGGAGGACGGATGAGATCAGAGAGGGGCACGTGGCATTCCGGTGGCTTCAGAAACGTTCGTTTAAGCAAACTTTTTTTCATGCCATTAATTTTCACATCTTATTATAAGTTTCATATATTCTTTTGAACATTTGACATATTTCAGGATGAAACACTAAAGAGATTAACTGGGGTAATAAATGTGACAGAATGGAAGTAAATAGAAAGCAGACTGCTGAAGTCAGCTTGTAGAAGAGCCAGTAATCACTGTTTATTGAGTGATTACTAGGAGTGGGGTCTTCAAAAAGGTCATGGAAAATGTGTATTATGCAAAAACTGTGCATGGATTTCAATTTTTTTTTTTGCACCAAAATAAACTCGTACTAACTTGTTTGAACAGGATCTAGTTTGAGGCACTAAGAAGGAGAAGGTGACATCAGTTCGAAAAAGGCCCCTATCAGAGCAGCATGAGTTCTGCTAACATTAAAGCAAGAACAAGCATCAAATTTATGGTGACTCTTAGGTGGAAGAATGGTGAAATCACTGATGCTTTATGAAAAGATTATGGGGACAATGTCCTGCCCCCCTCCAAAAATCAGCAGTTTACACATGGATCACTCATTTTGAGAAGGGACTAGGCGACATGGAAGATGAAGCCCACAGTGGCAGACCATACACATCAGTTTTCTCTCCCTTCCTTTCTTTTTTTTTTTTTTGACAGAGTCTCACTTTGCTGCCCAGGCTAGAGTGCTATGGCATCAGCTTAGCTCACAACAACCTCAAACTCCTGGGCTTGGGTGATCCTCCTGCCTCAACCTCCCAAGTAGCTGGGACTACAGGCATGCGCCACCATGCCCGGCTGATTCACATCAGTTTTCGAGGAAAATTTAATCTCCTTTGTGCCCTAATTGAAGAGGACCCGCGATTAACAGCAGATCTGCCCACCTCGGCCTCCCAGAGTGCTGGGATTACAGGCGTGAGCCACCACACCTGGTCCATGGATTTTTTTTCTTTTTTTAAGGCATTTTAGAGAAGAAAATATTTGAGGCTTCAGCAAATCATTTTGTTTAACAGCCACTCACTGCTTCTCAAGTTTTTACAGAATTTCATAAAAGACTTCCATTGCATTTCGGGGCTTTTCATGTTTGCTGCCTAAAGTTATGAACCCACTTAA